GCGAGCACGCCGCGCGTCGCACGAGCGCGGCGTGCGCGCGAAATCTACGTCTCGCGTTACCGCCTGGCGTCGACGATGACGCCGATCGTCGGCGGATACTCGGAATCCGGACGATCCGGTGACTTCCAGGCTCATCGAGCAAATTAGCGGCGCGTGCGTCGCGCCGCGTAAAAATCACGACTGCGCAACAAGCGAGCGGTCCCGCGAAACGGAAGACACTTTCGCCTCTTTCGTTCGTAAATTTTTTCTTTTACGTGCGTTGGAAAATGCAAATATTAACGATCGCAATTTCCGATCTGCCGCGAGCACGACCGTCTTGGCGTGACTGCACCGTGCGAGGAGCAAATTCTCGTCCGCGATAAAAATTTCAAGCCGGACGGACGGACGGGGGGAGATAATCGGGGGAGTCCGCCGTATCTCGAATACGAATTTTGACACGAGGCACGGGAGGAGAACGCGCGCGGAAGCGTGGGAACGGGCGCTCTTAAGCCTTCTCAAAACAAAGCACGAGTTAGCTACGTGACGGAGGTGGGGGGCACGCGACGCACCTGACTACCGCGATGCCCCCGCGCCGCTCCACGTGCTCGCATCCGCCCGCACCGCGGCCGCTCCTCCCCCCGTACCCCCCGTTGCTCGTACTCCGGTGGCCGCTGCCGGTTTATTAAGTCGTTACCCAGGGTCGAGTACGTTCCTCGAGCGCGCAAGCGAGTTTCGCGCGTGCAGCAGCGTCGGCGGAGAATGGTCGTTATAATCCGCGATTGATACGCGCGCGTGTTAAATAACAATAAAAAAAATTATGACGGATTATCTCGCCGCTCGTCTTTCAAATCGGACGTCTCTGACGCAAGTGCGCTGAGAAAAATGTCCGATTAAGGTGGTTGCACCCTAAATTAAAAGTCTCACAAATCTTCGAAACGCGTGAAAAAAATTTATTCAAATATTCTAGCATGTCTGTGTTAAATCTCAAGTCGATCAACCATACAGATTCTGAGATAGGGCCGTTTAAACTGTACGATTTTTAGTATCATTTAACATTACAGTAATGGCGACGGCGAGCAAAAACTCACGAGGAGCAACGAATTTCGCTCTAGCAATTGAATCGGTCTCAAAACACGTGCAAAAATCTGAGAAAAATTATTTCAAACACTTTCGAAGCATGTGTATTAATTTCGTGAACTTGGACCCATACATTAGTGAAGTAATTTTAATCCAAAGTTTTGTTTATTAAATGAACTTGATTTTGATTTATACAGTCAGAGTACAACCATCCTAAATATAGCAGGATAATCCAATTTCATAATAACAAACGGATGCATCAGATTAAATCGTATATCCGATAAAAAATGTGATCGGTTTTTCATCGGATAAATATCAACGGATGTATTCATTATTTACTCGGAAAACGTAGTCGGAAAAATTAACCATCGGAAACGCTATTTAATTGGTTTATCCGATGAAAAGTTTTTCCAGTGTATAGATGCGAAATGTAACACATTGAGAAGTTTTCATCGAAATTTCGGAAAAGTCAGAAGGCCCAGAACCCTTGCACGTTTAGGTATCGTCCCCAGAAGCAAACGCGTGTCTCTCGCTTGGTCCGCCTGGGGTAGACGATCGTGGGATTTTTGACTGACAAAACTTCGGCGACTCCGGTTCTCCCCAAGGAGACGTTTTCTGGAGATTTCCCCCGCGTCGGCAGAAAAAGAAAAGAAATGCAGATAGCATGAAATTACGCTAGACGCGATTCCATGAACAATCGCGTAACACTGGAATCATGTGACACGTGCCGCCAGTTAAATATGCGGTAATGTCGAAATTACGCTTGTTGTAGTAGCGTCATTAGAATGGCTCGTGGACCGACAGCGGCCTTGGATGATCATGCGAGACCGCCTCGATACTCGAGCCAACGTCATGATAAATGACACGCTAATTATGCACACGTGCGGAGGACATATTGTAATCGCGCCTCACAATCGTCACGCGCGCAGTTCACGAAGCAGACGAGGAAACGTGTAATTGGCATGGAGAGAATTAAAATCGTCGCTCATCGATGGCTACGAGTCACCTCGCGTCGGTCTTTTCGCGTTTGGAATAAACATTCGCGGAATACTCGTGCAACACTCCCTCCATGCTTTATTATATTATTCGCGAAGGGAAGATCAAAGTGGAACAATAGAAGGCGCGATATATTGCTATTTTTTGTTGGAGTAGATCGGAATAGCGGCTTTATACTGCGACTCGCGCGTAATTGCACTCGCTGGATGGGAACGAACTAAATTCTGGGCCCCACGAAATAACACGTCTGATTAAATGGTTTCCACGAAACAGCTTTTCATTAGGAATTCAGCCGCCGTATCAATTTGACCAAGTGACAAAGCGCAATCCGCGCGTGTATGTGCGCGCGTGTGACTTAATGATTCAATTAAGACGACTTTGTAATTTCAGTTTTGACCGTCCGAGTCGGGCCGGAGTGCTTCACGCACGATTCCCGGAACCGATGCGAAATCGTTATTCCGGATACGGTTCGCGCTTTTTCTGGGTCGGGCGAAAAGTCGGACGGAAAGGTAGACAAAGAGCCTCTCTAGCCTCGTTAATGGACGCCGGCGTAAAAACGCGTAACTACCTGTCCCGTATTCCAGCGGCGCGGGGGTCTCCTTGAGATCTGTCCTCACGTAGAAGAAACGGGGTCCTTAGCCTTACGTGCTATCTGCGCTGTGTTGGTTACGTAACGCACACGCGGCCGCTCGCATGAATGAATACATTCATAAAGCCCGGGGTCCGGCCGGCTCGGCGCGCACGTCACACACATACGCGAGGCTACAATCTCAATAAGAAAATACGTCTATTATGTCGTTACAATAACGATATCAATTCGTTGACCGTCGTGGCACCGAGCGGAGCCCATTGTCTCCAAACGACAGTAGGGTGTCCCTCGGCCGGTGCACCATGTAAATCGCCCTCGAATTATTTCGCCTCCGAAATCGGGAGCTCGGCAGCCTTGCATTAACTCCGCTCGAAATATAATTATCATATTTACATCTAAACAATTAATCCCGCGATGTTCTTCTGTCATATTTTTTTTTTTCGAGAAGAAAGATCGGAGGCGAAGACCTAATTTGTGCGAAAGTAACACGCTATTACTTTCCTCGAATATCTACAAAACAATTTATATTTGATACAGGCAAATCGTGTGCATTTGCCATCTTATTGTCTGAGAAGACGGGGAGGAGAAAAAAAAGATACTCCCGCGTTGCATCCGCGTATAAATTGTCAAGGGCTAACGCTATTTTAGGACATTAATCGTCGCGACATCGGTAATTATTCTTTAACGAGCCGGAAAGCTTGAACGAATCAAACGCTCTGCCTTGTCTTCGTTTCTGAAGACAATTGGTTTGGTCACTCTATCACGGATCGTACTTCCTCCGGACAAAACTGATATATGATATTTTAAGTGACGGAGTACCCGGCCAGTAATTGAATTTAAAGGGCGGAAGCGAAGAAATCTGGTCCCCTTTCATATTAACCTAATCAAGCGCAGTTGTCGGTACCGCCGACTGTCGCGGTCACAATAGAGACATTAAATTGTCAGTACGGATTTATTAAACCCGGCGCGGTTACAGCCGTGAAACCGCGCGGATCTTGGGCGATTCGCCTCGCTCTTATATTTGGCTGTTCGTAACTAACGACTTCACAGCCGTACATTTCGAACGTACGTACTCTGACAAATGTATCGCGAACGTGTCAACGAGACGTTCCTATTTTCTAACATTTCTGTTAAAAGTTTCGTTTCTGGAATACATGTGTATTATTACTTATTCCCGAGTCGAAATTTTGGCCCTATGTTGAACCTTTAAATCTATTATAAAGTAGGACCTGAGACAGTAAAAAGAGGTCGAATTGCAAGTACAAAATTTACTTCTACTTTAAAACTGATAGTATCGGAAATTTCTACTTTTGCCAATTTAGCATTAAAGTAGGTCCTTTTAAGCAGGAGCTAAAGTAAATTTGTAGAATTAAAGATTCAAGGGAAGAGTAAAAAAATATAATGTCATCAATGTAGATTATTCAGCTAAGTAGGTGTAAATTATTTTTAAAAGTGTCCAAATAGTACCAAAATTTTGACTCGAGTTGACTAGAACTCTGTGGATTCGCAGACTTGATGATAAATCAAGGAGAAGATTAAACGGAGGAGCGTTTTCTGTGTGTTACCAGAGCAGGTGGCAAGCAATTTTGTTCCTGTTGCTGAAAATTACGGCAGCCACGTTAGCGAAGAGGCTCTTGCGCAGCGGCTTTAACTTTTTATTATCGCTGACGCGGTGCCGACCCTCGTAAGAGCCGCCATTAGATGTTCGACATGTAGACGAACGTCTCATCGTTCTCGGTACGATGACTTGTCAACAATTCACCGCGGCCGGTACCTCCGTGCAAGCGTCTCCCTTCTTTAGGACCGTCATGCTTACTTGTTCCTTATCATTGAATTTAAGACAAGTTTTTATTAGTAATAAGCTTCTCGCGTGCATGATTTCGTCGAAGAAGTTACCGAAGAAGTAAATTCGGACATACGTGCTTTATTAAATTGTTGCAACGAATTTTGCGAGTCCTAGTTTTCATGGGTATCTCTAGCAGTCTTTCATGATATAGTAATTGTGTTAAAAATAAAGAACATTTTTTTTTCGCTTACCTTTGCCCGCTTGATGTCTTGAAGACGCTTGTGAAACCTGCTCGTGAAATTATCGTCATGTTAAAGTAAAAAAACTGTTCGCTACAGGTTGTAATTCGAGACGAATTTTTAATTTAATATTAAAATGTAAATTTTGTAATAACTTTTATCCTTTGATAATGAGATAAAAACAAATTTGTATCTTTGAAATGACTGCAATTGCTCTTGCAAATTTCGCATAATCCAGATTACTGTTTAACGCAATGTCAAGATCTCTTTTTGACCGGGGAAAGGGGCGGCCAACGCGGTCTTAACAATCTCGCGCCTGATTAATAAAAAATTATTTATTAAAGACAATTTTATTATAATAAAGTAAATTCGCACAACCGTGGGAAAAGGCACATAATGAATTTGGTTCCTTGGCGAACCAACGGACATGGAAATGGTACGTTTACCCGTATACAACAAAGTACGCGTAGCATGCGAAACAAAAAGGTTTCCACACGATTAAGGCATCGATAACGGGGACGATGCCGCAGCTCCGCGTCTCTTTGATGTCGGTACCATCGTTGTAAAATGGCGTATGAAAAAAAAGGATTACTATCTAAAAGATCGCTTCCAGGTGATACTTGGTCTTGCACAGCTTCTGCAATCGAGAGATCCCCTGTTCTCGATTATCACTATACTTGGTCTCCCACGCGTCAAATAACATGTTGTAGTATCTCGGAATATCAAAAAACTGCAAGTACTGGTGGCTACTCGTAGTAGGGAAGATTTTTTCGAAATTCCCCAACTGTGTTAACTCGTCCTCGTAAGCGATCAGGTGTCTTACGTCGTCCGGCATGAGATCATCGAGAATTTCGTCGAGGTAATCCTCACGGTTTCTCAGGTTCGCGTACATGCCCTGTTTAAGCTGTTCCTGGTAGCTAAGGGTAGTTTGGTGCAGTCTGTAATCTTGGCACACCGGATCTAACTGATATCTTTGGGCTAGTTTCTCCACTTCCTCCGCCGGTATGCACGTGGGCAGTTGGTATCCGGCTATATTAAAGAGGTTTCTAATGAGGGGCCCCTTGACCGCGATGTCGAGAGGCGAGGAAGACTGTAGAGAGGGCGATATATTCACTTCGAGTAACCACGGTCTCCGGTTCTCGTCCAGAATAATATCGATGCCAAACAGCTCGTAGCAACAATACCTTGGGATTTGACAAACCGCGTGACATTAGAAAGGGATGGAACGCGTAAATAAAATCATGCTAGTTGCATTTTAACAAAAATGAACCTTCTACATTGATTCTAAAACTTTAATAATATAAAAATAAATAAAAAATAAAAAGTTAATATAAAAATTATATGAAATTATTATACAAAATGTTTAAATTTTCATTTATCGTTCAATGCTTGCAGTGTTAAAAATGTTAGCACTAAATGCGTAAAAATGAAAAGAACCGCAATCTATTTTATAAAAACTGACCGAGACAACGTAGAAATATCTTCTCACCTCGAAGTTGTATTAGCTCGCGTCAGAGTGTTGATAGAAGATTCGCCGGCTATCATCGTCTTGATGACTATGTCTTTTATCAACTGCCATATCCTGGAGACGTCCACGTTCTCCTGCTCGAGGTAGGACCACAGGGTCCTCAAAGTCCACTTGTGGCCGGTACTGGAGTCCGCGCAGTCGTTGCTGGTGTAAGTCGCGCTGGTCTTGTTGATGCTGTAGTTGGTGAGATGCATGAAACGATCGCTGAGGTAGTTGATGTCGTCGTTATACTTGACGGAGGCGAAGCGTACGAGACCTTCCGGGTATATGTAAACCTTGAGCGGATTGAAGCCGGTGACGTACACGTAGAGCCGCAGATCGAACTTGGCGCCTCGTATCAGCATCGGCCGCGACAGATACTGCTGCACAACGACGGCGCGCTTCTTTGGTATTTGGGACCAGCGGTGGACCACGCGGATCCCGGTGCCGCGGGCGGACGCCGGCGGCTTGATGATCCATTTCTCCTTGCCGCCGTTCTTCTCCCACACGTGGCGGAACAGACGCAGATCCTGAGGTAGCACGTAGGTGCGCGGCACGAAGCCGAATTCCCGCTTGCCGTACTTTATCATCATCCGGTTAAGGTTGCGCCAGAGCCGGTCCTTCCGGCCGATCTGGAAGGTGCCGGGGAAGTGGTTGATCTTCTGCGACTCCTTCAGACCTTTGTAGGCGACGGACTTCATGTGCTTGCCCCAAGTGCCACACCAATACCGGCACTTCTTCATCAACCGGTAACCGGAATTCACGACGATGCGGCGCACCAACATCGGTGTTATCGTAGTAAGGTGCCACTTGAGATGTCTCGTCACTTCGTATGGCAGTACCAAGTTGACCTTGCTGTCGAACGACTGAAAGGCGATGTAAGGCGGCACGTTATCGAACAGGCTCCTGCGGAAGGGCAGCTTGTTCCGGTTGTCGCCGTCGATGGACGGCAGATCTCCGTCGATATCGAGGTCAGGCGCGCTCTCCTCGTCGTATTGAGTCTCGGCGCCATCAGTGCTGCTCGCAATGCTGCTGGTTTCGTGCTGATTACATACGATCACGTCCATCTCGAATAACCTGCAACACACGAGGGGGACAAGGGGTCCGTAGTGACGCGGTATGACTTTGACACTTCCCCAACAGTCCCACGTCCTTTACATTTGCGCCTGTATTTGTTTAACTCTTTAACAATCTCGTTTCAGATAACGGCGACTATGAATCGTCGCGATTCTGTAATCGCAGAATCATGTCGATTTCGCTGTCGCTGAAACGAACGTCTTTAAACAATTAAGGCACCGACGAATACCGTTAATACGGTACAGAATACCGCTACCCGAACGTCTTCGAGAAGCGAAATTGTCAGAGATGAACATGTCACCGCCTGTCGAGAACTACGATTTGCTCCGATTGACTAAAACTCGATACATACACTAAAAAAAAAAAAACAGAATTCCTTCAGGATTTACCATGAAAGACATTTCATAACCAGTGGTTTGCTAGACTTCACTACACGTCTGGTAAATCCTAAAGAAATTGTGATTCGTCCATTTTCTAACAGACGACTGGTTGAATCTATCGGATTTGTTTTTCAGCGTGTGTACATCGATATAATTATAAAGATGTCGCGGTCACAACGTCGTAATTATTGTCATTATAAAGTGATACTTTTTATGGAAATTTTTCAACGAGTGATTACAAAGTACGACCAGTTTCCCCAGGGGGATAATTAGCAAGTGGCTGCTACTCATGTACATATATTATAAATATGTTGCCGGATATATTATACATATATATATACATATATAAAACCACGAGTTATTAGCAATACGAAGTAAGCAGCTGCGGGTAAAGTCGATTTACTTGTTACAGTGAGGAGCAAGATTGTAAATTGACATGTAAAATTCGATTAAAATTCAATTTCACCGACAGCCGCGTCAGTCCGTACGCGAACTTTTTCTCCCGCCAAGTTTTCTCCAAGAAATATTTTCTTATCGCCGCATTCTATCTAAGATCCCGTGTAACGTAAACAACCGCACAATGTAGAACGTTCAACGTAAACAATTTCATAATGCAGAACGTTTAATATAATAAACAACTACGCAATGCGGAAGCTTAGCTAAATTTTTGTTCAGTCTAAAAACTATAAAATGAGTTGCATCGATTGCTGGAGAAAAATGTGCTTACGATTCTTCAAAACAAAATATACCTGGGATATTCTTGGCCATTGTGTGTGACAAAATATACATTTAAAAGTTTAATGGAATATTTTCCTTACTAATAACGAAGACATTTACATTCTTTAATTCTTTCGAACGGATTTTATAATAAATTGGAAGAGCTCAAGAAAACGTCAAAATATGATAAGAATCGTAAACGAATGGCGGTTGCAAACCGGAGCGTTGCAATAAGCGATAAAATGTTATTATCATACTGGCAAGTACATCGCTAAGCAGTTTCATCATAACAACAGCGTCCGCGAGTGAGACTGATCGAACGATGCTCCGCGATCGCATCAACGCGCGATGTAAGCGTTTTAGACCTGGTTTTTCCAACGTCGTCTCATTCTTTGTCTCTTTCTAAGGCGTCAGTTAGAAAGAGACAAAGGATAAGTTAAACCAAGGATAAAGTTGAGCGAAGCTGGAAAAACCAGACCTTAAATGCACGTGTCAAAAAAATTGTGCATGCACAATCGTGAGAAGGATTTGTAAAAGAAAAAGTACGTACCAATCCGTGTTTGTGTGTGTGTGTGTGTATTATTCAATTGCCAGGAGTTGCCAGCATTATAACTGCACGACCATGAACGCCTGAAACATAACAATTGATTCGCGAATTATTACAATGATATTACAATTGCCGAGAAATCGTAACGTGGATTCTTATAGGATACCCTTTGTACTCTCATCGGTAAGTGCGATTAACGTTTCCTTGTAGCACGGGAATTTGCGGGGAAAACATTTCGAGAAACGCACACGCAAAAAAACACGGAGGCAATAACGCCGATCTTAAAAAGCACGAACCGCCGGCGTGTAATTGCGAAATCGTGAGGCTAAGTACCACAAAAAAGAAATACCAGGGGCATTTACACCATAATAATTTACGTTTCGATAAACTTTTACGGATAACTTACAAGTCAATTCGACGATCGTACGTTCCCGAATCGCGAACGATCCGCGACCATTGACTTGCACTTCTCGATCTCGTACAGGACGCGCCACGTTCATCCTTATTTTCTAAGCACATTTTAGACATTTTGTGTAATGCACAGATATGTCGAAACATGTTGCCGCGTTGGTATATTTCCTTTTATTTATGTATACATATAAATAATAATTATTATAGTAGAATTCCAAATTTTATTCGACCACAGCTGGCCACATTTATTAATTAACCGGTCAATGCAGAAAATTTATCGCGAATGTAGGGGAATAATCGTCGTAACGAATAAATGTCCTCGGCTGATCGGAAAACTAAAACTTTATTAAGATGCCTCTCTTGCTCGCGTCCGAGGAGCGACTGACTCTCTTTCGTCTTCTTTCCCCGCTCGCTCGTCCGTCGTTTGTCTTTTCGCGGTCCGGCCGCCGACCTAGCCCGCTTCGGGTGCGAGGCTAGCCCGCCGGATTCGAATCATTTTCGACTACACGAAAGAAAGTTTCAAGTCGAAAAATAGACGCGAGGATGTCATCTTTACACTGTTATTGCGACAAATGTTACCACGTGTTTCGAATTGGTGAGACGCCCGCCTAGAGAGTAAGGGAAGTCCAGGTTCAAGCCCTGGCTGAGGTAATATTTTTCGCAATAAATTTTCTGCGTTGACCGGTTAATTAATAAATGTGGCCAGCTGTGGTCGAATGAAATTTGGAAGTTTCGAGAGACAAAGCAAGATATCCAAAGATTCTCTGGTGCGTTTTTTGACGCACAATCCTTGCTATCGCGCTACTTTAGCTGATTCTATTGTGAGTGTTTTGTTAATTATTCGAACAGGGCTACATCTTGTAACATTAATTTAAACACGGTGTAAATCAACGAACGGCATGTGTATCCCAATAATTGCGAATGCAATCATTCGCATGCGATTCGTGCAAGTAGCGCGCCTGTCAATCGTACATTGCGCTTGAATGAGGAGCTGGTACACGTTCGCTCGCGTGCGAAACGATTGATACATCTTACTGCGCGATCGCATTTCCAAAGGGATAATGTTGTGAAAGTAAATAAAAAAGTAAGATGAAAGAATTGCCGCTGTAATTTGCACCTAGAAACATCGCTCATCAATTAACGTCCTTCTTGAAACATGGCACAATTTTCTAATTATTCTCGCAACGACTCGTAGTCGACAATAAAATCAAGCCAACGGCACACGGTGCTATGTCTTTTTTCTGAATTGCTTACGAGAGCCAAGGGGTCAATTCTGTATCTTGCAACATAGTGAAAATGCTAAAAGCAAGTGGCTTTGTCTCTTTCTAAGCGGACAGTTAGAAAGACACAGAGCTATTCACTTTTAGCATTTTCACTACGGTGTAAGATACAGAATTGACCCACGGGATTTAGTCTTAGGTCACCTGATCTAAAGCCAGCGGCACACGATACTATTTTTCCTACTGGATTGCTTACGAGAACCAATAAGGATGCAGAGTTTCAGATCAGGTGACTTAAGTCTAAATCCTGATTGGCTCTCGTAAGCAATTCGGTAGGAAAAACAGTATCGTGTGCCGTAGGCCTTTAAGGTCTTTAAGTCTTCATCAATGAGGAAAAGAGTGCGGCGCGTCTCACCGATATGATTATTCCCAAAATTCTTCCGACGAGACGTACCGTCTGCGAGACGCGACAAAAAGATGCGGAAACGGAGATAGTCAAATATTTATTTTACATCAATGGGTTAACAACTTGCCGCGCATGATTGATAATGATAAAATTACGACACCTTTCATTTAAGAAGATAAATTTGCGGGAACTCAACCGGAGAGGAGAGTACGCGCAGAAACTGATAAACGCGATGATTGATACCAGGATGCAGATGTGCGAGCATGCGGTGCTGAATATAAAAAGCGAGAGCTGTCGATTAATTCGCCGCCTCGAAACGCATGTTAAGTAAATATGCCGGCCACCATGTGGCAATTAAATACTCGTTATTGATCGTGGAAGCAGTCGCTGGAACACGGTAGTGCATTAATCGGAAAGTAAGACAGGGGACTCGCGGAGAAGAAAGAGTTAATTTTCTTTCGTGTCCCACTTACGTAAAATCAAATTAACGCGATGCCTCAAAAATACAACCAGAACGGAAGGCTCGAAAAAGTGTGAAAGCGTCGCGCCCATCGATCGGCGCAATTGATCGATTGACTTTTGGACCGACCTTTTCATCCGCCGCAGGTCCCTCCTCTCTTCAAATCGTAGATTACGTAGCTCCGATCTATGGAAAAAGGAGAATTCCCGGTGAGTTCTATTTAGATTACAGCGCGCTAATCAACGCCGGAAAGAAATCGATATTACTAACGAGAAAACCTCAGTTCGCGCGGCTTCGGGCCGGACTGGGGCAAAAAAAAGCGAGAGCAAGATTACATCCTCCAGTTGTATGTGTGTACGAAACAGACATTGTGTTCCTGACGCCCGTGGAGAATGAGGGAAATTGATTAAATTGTGTTTTAAGGCTGGGACACAAGAAAGTACAGCCCGCGTATTAAGTCGCGTAAGACGCATTAATATTCATGTGTCAGTTTCGCCACCTCCGGGTACGGTACCCGGACGGCGGCGGCAGGTGACAGGCGGTTTTCGATTTCTTGCAATGTCGCATGGCGCGATTAAAGCCGCCGGCCAAACATTGTAGCCTTTTGCCTGCGCCGAAGGTGACTTGCTGTAGCGTTCTCGTCGCGGTGCCGCGCAATTTGACAGTGCGATTTAATCTTGTTGCAACCCCCGTAACTTCCGTGATTTTTTTGGCGACACCAGCGACAAGACCGTATCTTTATAATTATTGGGTATGGGTATATGTGTGCGCGAAAGACGAAGACGTAAATAGTGACAAGATGCATTTCCCATTACTTTCAATGCCAAGCCGCGTCTCCCGTTATCTCCAATGATTTCGATAATTTTATAATAAAGCTTTGCGTCTGCAAGAAATACAGTTTGAGTAGCTTTTTGTCGCCAGTGGTAATAGACCAAGGGGAATTTTTTTTTAATCGACCAAACTGGCAAAATTGATGTTTATTTTAATCATTGTGTTTACTTCCTAATCAGTCTTCTTCGAGATGTGCAAACGTATGGTTGCTACTTGGAAAATTTTAGAAATTGACATCATTATAAATCCACCGGCTACCGAGACATACATGATATTACGAATTTGCTACCACAGACTCATGAACCCATTCTGTTTCGGCATAAAAGAAAAATGTTCAGTCAACTTTAGAATGTACTCGAGAAAGGCCCGATAAAGGGGTCGAAACGTCGTGATTAAAATAAACATCAATTTTGCCAGTTTGGTCGATTTAAAAAAAATCCCCTTTAAATATATTTAATGCCGAAATTCTCAAAGCTATATAATAAATAAGACGTCCTAGGGCAAACTGCAACTCTTTTAATCTGTAGATTAAATAATTAATTTTTTTTAATCGACAATACGACTTGCGACACCCTGCGGCATATTTAATTGTAGCGACCGTTACTTGCAAAATTTATTAATGAAATACAAAACTAATCAAGTCCATTCGAGCCAGGCTAAATCTGATTATACTGAACTATGCAAATGTTGCTGAGTGCTTTTCAGCTAAGTTAATGAATAACAGAAGAAATCGATAGAATAAATGTCAATCTCGCAATTATTTCTTTTTTATATCTTCAAAATATATTTATCAACTCTATTAAAGCAGCCACCACGTAGACATTCATTTTTAAATCATGTAAAAACTTGAATACTTTTTTTCCAGTTCCGTCAGTTTATTTATAATTGCAAATATATTAATTTTCGTGATACGATAAAATTAAGAACGTGTAAGTTCTATAATACGAATAAAAATTCTCTAACATAATAGGAAAGTATTTTCTGAATAAAATAGCGTTTCGCTGCGTCATATAGCGCGTTTCACGCACGATTCCGCCGTCGAGAAGATTAATAAAGAAGAGAAGGATGCGAAATGCGTTGTGGGTGGTGATTCGATATCGTTTATCATTGAAACAAGACGTTTATTGATGATGATGATACTGCCTGACGAGCTCAACAGAGACGCCGAACGGCATTACGTCGAAAAAGATTCTTAAACATAACAAGTTAACATCTATATAATAGTCGCTATGCTTTACGAGAAAATAGGCATCTCAGGTACAAAATGGAACCCTATCACAGACGTCACTTAAAGCTTTAATCACCTATGTACAATGCGAGCGAGTAAACCGCGTAAGAAAGTAAAGTTCTTAGAGAATCCTCAACGAGGCTTCGCAAAAGTTTCATTCGGAAGACAGCGATTCGTCGTTTCCCTCCTCGCGCGATTCAGCGGGCGGGCTCTTCTCGTAGTCGGATTCCTCGCAATTGCTTGAAACGTCCGGAGATCATCAGGATAGCGTCGTAGTCGTGGTCGTCCGCGACCGCCTCATCACCAGGGTCTCCAGACTGCGTTGGAAGACTCCGAGGACTCCCCGGAGGAGCTCGCGACACTGACAGGGCTCTGCGGAGGCGTGTAGACGTTCTGGGGCACGCTCGGGGTCTGGCTCGGGGTGGGCGCCTGGGCCGTCTTGGTCGCAGCCGCGGTTGCCGTCGGCAGCGCGTGCTTGACGCCAGCTGGGCTCTCGAGTCGTCGCAGGCAACCGCCGAGGTGTCGCATGAGCTGAGCACCCGCGGCGGGATGCACCGTCGCGGCGACCGGCGTCGACAGGAAGGTCGAGACCTCCTGGGCGCATTGGGTGAAGCCGTCGCGGAACCGATCGGCGTAGCTGTTCTCCGGCGTGAGGGTGAGCCTCCTGGCGGCGCGCAGCGTGTGGAGGTGACGCACCGTCAGCTCGAGGATGTCCGCCTTCTCCAGCTTCGCCACGTTCTCGCCCTCGGCCTGCAGCGCGGTCACCATCAGGTCCTTGAGCTCGTCCAGGCAACGATTGATGCGGGCGCGCCGCTTGCGCTCCAGCATCGGCTTCATCACCTTGCGGTACTGATAGGTGCGCGACACCGGCTCCTCGTACTCCATGCCGCTGACCGGCGTGTAGCCCGTGTGCGGTGACATGACGATCACACTTAATTCTGTCACTGGTCACAAAACAACGGAGACAACCGAGTCCAGGGAGAATGGATCCTCCGTTGGTCCCGCGGCGGGGGAGGGGTCCGATTAAGCCTCCGGAAAAGTAGCCGCGATGCTCCTCGTGGTGTACAGCAACGTCTCGCGATCGATCGCGATCGAAATGCACGATCGAATGCACGTTCGACGTTTCTATTTACTCTGTACTGCTTCGCTGCTTCTCGGAGTGCCAAGAGTGCGTCTGAATCCGTACGTATTCGTGACGGTTCTGAAGCGTTGGTGGGGTACAACCCGTTATTTATATGCCGCGTGGTGCCCCACCCGTGCCGCCGTCGTCCTGAGCCCCACAGCTGGGCGGCAGAGGGGCCCGAGGGGCACGGTGCGCCGAACCCTGCAGCCCGCGTGCACGGCCGAGCCAGCGGCAGCGGCAGCAGCCGTGGCGTATCGTGGGAAGCTCGCGGGCCGGAGCGTTCCCACAGATCGGGGGGCCTGTTGGGGCCTGCACAGGTTCTGTGCCGCTTGACGCCTGCCGAGAGAGCCGTCGAGAGGGGAGGCCCTCCTTGCGAGCGTACGTGCCCGCGCTGAGCGCGAGCGCACGCGGGAGGGGACACCTCGCTCATGGTGAGCACACCTGCACGCGCGGTGCCCTGGCACGGCGCGACGCGCCGAACCGCGCCGAACCGCGCCGAGGAACACGGGCGAGAGGAGGCGAGAAGAGGAGAGCACACGCCACGACGCGCGACCAGCACGAGGACGACTCGCGCGATCCGTCGCGCGGTAGAGCGGCGCGAGCCTCGATCTCTCGCGCCGGAGGTGAACATTATCGCGGTCGAATCTACGAAGGACGCCGCGAGGGCGCTAGATTGGAAGCCGTAGCGGATGAGAGCGAACCTCCTCGCCATTTCAGATTGTACTTGGGACATCGTTCGTTCGTCATTTCTGCAATATGCATTCTGTTGTCGCACGCGTATCTCCGTCAAATATTATTGCTAGATGAAACTTGGATTTTGCATATAACGTAAATATTTAAACCTGAACCTAAACTTCGGCGCATATGTTGAGATGCGCGCTTTAGGCTCTTCGTGTATTATTCATCTATCTAGTGCTTAGCAAATAAATGAACGAGAAGACTCCAGTTTAAATCCAGCCACGGACACCGCTGGTTTCTTTCGAACGCCACTTCTCGGAGGGAAGTGGCAACCACCGAGAATACCTCGCCACACATACCCCTTTAAAGGTACAGTCCTCCCAGGTTGGTGGTTTCCTTCGGCAAGGTTAGCAGCTACCGGAGATGAAGTGAAACCAAAATGCTCAAAGTACCAGAACAAACTGGATAAAACGGGCTTTAAGCCTAATACACGTGGGGGATGAAGAAGTGTATTTTATCCAATTGAGCCACAAGTATAGAAATGAAGAAAAATGTTGGACCGATCGTGTTTGCGGATCACGGATAATGACGTTTCCAATCGGCAGGTTTATAGGAATCTAAACACCGCCGATGGCTCGCGCGCCCGCGCTCGAGGCGCACGACACTTGTTGATTTACCGGATTACCACCGACGTGGTTGCACGTGCACGCGCGTGTCTCGGCAACGGTCCCGGGCACTTGCCCGATGTGAATCACGTCTTGGCGCGCAACGCCGTGTCGCTTATGAGCTGGACCACCTCTCGCATCCCTCACCGGCGTGGAACAATGGGAATAAATGTCGCCGCCCGCCCACGCGCCCGCTTCATCTCGCGACTACGCGAGATCGTCCGCTTTCGTTCCTCCCGCCGCGTTACGTCACACGAATCGCTCTGGGAACGTAAAAATTTAATTGGCAAGAAAGAAATGCGTAAAAACAGCTTCAACGAACGGTACAGGTTTAATGAACGAGTTTTAACGATCGCCTATGCCACGTGGAGGCTGTCTAGAGAGATAACGGACGTATGTCACTGGACGGATTTCGGTCGTAAACAGTCTTCCCGTGGGAAAAAAAGGTTCTCTCCTCTATCCGTGTTCACGTACCGTATAGTTTTTAGGTCGCCTCTCTATTATACGATGATGAAGGAATACACGGACGTGTCACTGCATCCAGTTCTCCGAATATTCGGTTATAATTAACCTATGATCTCTTCCTGCCCTTAGAACATTCGTGGTAACTTGAGAGAAATTTTGCATATTCTCCGTCCGAGAGCAGTCCGGCATTAAAGAATCTCTCAAGGGTTTCTGACAACCGGTTCCGGTGCAATCGGAGCGGGTCCCGGGAGCCGATGTTTTGAATTATAAACGTACGTTCTTAATGATCCGCCCATTCTCGGACTCGGACGGGCTTCGCTTGCGGGACTTAACGAGGTGTTTAGCCCTTTTGGAAGCCGATACCCCAAACAAGGTCCCGCTGAGTGGGCCGGCCGAGTATTTACGAGCCTTTGGGTCTAAACGCAAAAGCAGCTAGTCGTTTCGGAGGCGATCCGGATATTACTACGATGTGTCGCTTTCATAAAAAGGAGGGAGGAAGGGGGAGAGAGAGAGGAAAGAGGAAAAATTCGCTTCTTCGGGCATGCGGTCGCCGCTTAATTGCCGATCTGTCCGAGATTGCGACGGAAACTGATACCAGTGGAATTTCGTCGAGCGGGAATTTTTAAAAGAAATCCTCCTTCGGAAAAAGTTACCATAACGTCTGTGTAACTAAGAAGTTCTCCGGCGGGAAACAAGTCTGTCCTCGATTTTAAGAGATTGCGTTACTCACTGCAAACTCTTCACGAAAAAGAGGATAGTATGAGCTCCAAGATAATATCTTAGAACAGTTTATCGTGACAACAGAGTCTTCTCTCTCTCTCTCTTTTTCTCATGAAACTATCTGACTTATTTTCTCCGCCCGTATTTTGCAGCGAGAGATAATACAGAGATATGTAAGTGTTCTCGAATCGAAATTTTGTTGAACCATTAATTATATTATATAATATTATATAGTAGAACCTAAGACAGTAAAAGAGGTCGAACTGCGAGTACAAAATTTACTCCTACTAAAACTGATAGTGTCGGAAATGTCTACTTTTGCCAGTTTAGCATTAAAGTAGGTCCTTTTAAGGAACCGAAGTAAATTTTTAGAATTAAAGAGTCAAGGGAGGAGTAAAAAATATTATATTATCAAAATAGGTTTGTAGTATTGCTGGTCCATGTACGTGCACAGATCAGCTAAGTAGGTGTAAATTATCCTTAAAAAGTGTCAAAACAGTACCAAAATTTCGACTCGGGTTATACGCTTTGAATAAAAAGTTTCTTACGTCGTTTCCAGCCGGACGGGCTCATCTTCCTAGTACACGATTAACACTAATCGGAACGCTTCTCTCGTCGACATTTAAACTGTGACACGCGCGGCTTCAACGAAATGGTCCCAGAACGCTCGCGAGATATAACTGCTTACTCTGGCAAAACGCCGGACTACGCCTGAACAACTTCGTCAGTCCATGTGTGTGTCATATTTATTATTAATCTTCGCATTTGTCCGAGCGCGATCCACATGTTCATTCTCTCTCGAGCCAAACGCCTCTCTCGCTCTCTCTCTCTCTCTCTGTTCCTCTTATTCTCTGTCTCGTTTGCTGTATCGCATTTATCATTATCAATTCCCCTCTCTAACTCGAAACGTAGCTTCCGCGCGGCCAGTACATTCTCAACGTGCGTCGAACGGACGAAAATAAGGCAGGAGCGACCGCGCGCCGGTAGAAGACCGGTAGGATAATTACATTGATTGGTTATACAAGCCGGATGCGGCGGTACGCGCGTACGCCAGTTAAAGCCCCGACGAAACGAGCGTTATCCGCGCCGATGCGGCGCTACCGCCGGGACACACCGGGTGCGTATTATTGCCCCGCGTTAACAACTCGTTACGCCCGCTCACCATCGGCGGCGAATGAGATGAACGTTGATATCCCCGCGTCCTTACGTGATCTCCGACGATCAAGTTCACGTAATTTATTTCTCGGGGCACGATGATGGATTTTTTTGCCGACCGGTCCGCGGCAAATCGCGCGCTTCCTTATTCATCAAACAGATCGAGGAAGTTTTACCCGTGAGAGAGAGAGGGGGGGGGGGAGACGAGGAGAAAGGGAGAGAAAGAGATTGACTGCGATTCGCATTAACGTTACGCGCGCGACCGTTAAATCGATATTTTCGTTATGCAACGGGGTTCGTCAAGCACATTAATTAGCTGCGAGATGGTCTGATTATAGGGTTCGCGAAACTCCTGCGGACACACGGTAAGTCCCGCGTCCGACATTTAACGAATCTGACAGGTTTGATAAGTGTGATAAGCGAGAGATCGGCGTGCGACGTTAATTAAGTACGACATTAAAGTCTGTATGAGCGATGAAGCGTTATTATTACAACATAATAATAATAATAATAATAATGTCGATAATGAGAATGTATAATGTTAACTTGTAATTTTATTTCGTAATTTTTCACCTCGCAACGTGTGTCGCGATGCGTCCTTTCAATTTTTTTCATAATGAATCGTGTAAAAAGTTGGAGCTATATTGGGGCGAGTCACGACTCGGCACCTGTCCAATGTGTTGAACTAACTTATTTATTTAATATAAAGAACGTCGATAATGTTAACGAGAGGCTGAAAAGGACAATGATAAGATAAAACGTATTTATAAGTCACGTGCTGCGTCATCGCGCGTCGCTAATACCGCGATTCTTGCGCAGACAATAGCAATTGAGAGGTTTTTGCCTTGAGGAAAAACGCCGATTACCGCTCGGTCAAATGTACGACAAAGCGGCGCGCGAGAAATATATAATATAGAACAATACTGTCGGCTTCGCGTCCTGAAAAAGAACGACGTTCCAGGAAACAATCGAACCGGCAGCCTCGTTCGGACATTACGGCGTATAATTCAATATCAATCCGTATCGCGGAGTAACGTGAATTATCACAGTTGAAAGTTTGTTCCCTTCCTGCCTTCTCGGGCCGCAAGAAGCAAAGTAGCGTAGATAAACGATCGGTGTATCTTCGCGATTTAGGCCCGGTTTCACCAGCGTCGTTTAACTTCAAGCTTAGCTTAATTCGTTCGTTGTCTCTTTCCAACTGGTGGGAGGTGTTAGGCGTGTCAATCAAATTGCTCCTCAAAAATCACAGTTTTTACAGTGGACACATAGTGCGAATAAATGTGAAAAGTGGGCATGAGTGTCGTCTAGTTGCAGTGTGGTAATTTGTGGACAGGAGGACAAAGTTTTTAGTCTGGAATTTTGGTGCTCATGTCGATGAGACTGTTACTTTA